GGATAATTTATTAGAATATATGAAAGAGGAAATGCGAATTGAGAAGATGAAGACGCGATCGATGATGCTATTAATGATCCATAACTGTAACCCTTTAAAAAAAAAAAAAAAATTTTTTTTAGATTAATTTAAAAGAGCTTTTTTTAAATTAAATCGTAAATAATTAAATAATTATCTAATAAAAAACTTACTATTATTGTAACATGAGAAATTTTAGGAATTTGTAATATAATATTTTCATTAATTCTACCAGATTTTGATAAAAATTCCAATATTGTTTTGTAATCTTCACATTCTGGTTCGCCTGACCAACTAGTACGACCTCCAGATCTTCCACAACCTCTTTAATAATTCAATTTTGAATTAGATGGAGTTATCAATTTTGAATTAGATGAAGTTATTTGAAAAAAAAAGAAATTAAAGTATTACCTAAAATTAAATGCAATTGTCAAGAATTCTTTATCCCTAAAATATTGCTCAACAGCTACAACAACATTATTATAAAAGTTTCCACCTAAAAAAAATATATATATATATTTAAAAATATAGAATAAGATATCTGGATAAATAATTCAAATTTTTAGCAATCATATTTTTTGTTTACAAACCTAAAGGCCCATACGGATGTGAGACAATAATAGCTTTAATTGGCTTCTGTTCATCAATATTATTTACCCCAACTCGAGCTTCTAAAGAGGTTCCGTCATGTAAAGAAGGGATAAATATCTTGTGAAAAGTTTTTTGTGATTGTTGGCTCATTATAAGGCTAGATTTATGACTTAGTTAATAAGATAAAATATTAAAAAAACTTTATTAAATGTATATATATAATTTACTTAATTGTAATAAAATGCATTATTTTCTAACGGCTAATATTAAAATCTTTTTATACTTACAAGCTTAAATTAATATAAAATCGGGTAAAAAAAATAAAGAATCAGAAATTTGAGTAGATTATTTAAGTTACATTGATTAATTTAGCGAGCTTTATACTCACAGACTAATAAGAACAAATAAGAAAAGTAAATGTTAGTGAATTTGAATGACTTATTTTTATGTACATTAATTTAATTAATATATTAAATATTGTTCAAGTTATTCATTGTAATTACTAAATAACAAAGTATTTTGCAATCTTGCAACGATACCTATCTTAATAAAAATAATAATAAAACAGTATACTCACAAACTAGAATATCATTAATTAAACCAATACGAATATGAAATAAAAATATGGTTTTAAATAATTAAATAGAAGATTTTAAAAACAAAAATATACCGTACCGTTCCGAAAATTAACACCTTTGTAAATAAAAAGGGTACTTATTTTTTGAAAGGTAAGAAAAACAAATAATAAGCCTCTGAATCGTCTGTATTAAAAAAAAAAAAGGCCTTTATGCATACCAACTAATGAAATAAATAATTTAGTGAATTCAAATTGTTCAGCAATTTTTTATTATATAAATTTTGTACTTTATACGTACTTACAAACTAAAACTTTGGCGAATCTTTAATAAAAGATTCTTACCGTTTAATACACTAGTATAATGTTTTTTCGATATCAATAAAATATTATTGGGGGTAATGCATATTCAGTTCAAGCTCGCTCTTGGCTTGATGGGGAGATAAGCTTGGTCAATCAAGCATTTATGTTACAGATATGAACTTGTTGAAACCTGTAACGGTATGACATTTAGAATGTTAAAACCGATTATATTTTACTACATAAACCGAAACCGAACTGGTATTTGATGCAAAATGGTTGATAGGTTTAACGCCTACTTATAATTATCATTCGGTTTATGCCTTAAGTAATCGTAATTAACTGTTAATATTTGGGTCATGAGACTCAAATTGTGATTTGATTACGTACACTGGTTTATTAGAGCAAATTAAAATTAAAAGCATAAATAGAAAACGTATTAATTTGAAAAGGCTTTGTCAAAATTGTTTTTTTTTAGGTTAGGGTGGTAAATTGGCTAATAATTATTAAGATTAAGATATTCGTACGTACGTACGTATACGTAACTGAAACCATTGTACAAATGTATATTCTGTGAAACGCTGTTATATTATAATTTGGTAATATTCTCACAGTGTAATAGGGAAGATGCAAGAATGTAAAACTAAGCCCTATTTACGGTACACAAATTTTTTTGTAATACAAAGAATATATATTAATATGTTTAGAATGTTAATTAGTTTGCATTTACGAACACAAACTCTACCAAAAAAAAAAAATAGAAAAAACTTTCTTTTAAAATAAAAAATGCTGATCAATAAACCTAGATCGTTTATAAGAATAATATTTTCCAGTTTTTTGATAATTTTGATACTTATTATCATTTTCCGAAGCTCAATTAATAATATCGTATATGAAAATTACAAAGATCAACATAAAGGATTGAACAATGAAATTACAAAATCCACACTTGGCTTTGATCATATTTATGTCGTTTCTCTCGCAAAGAGACAAGATAGACTTAAAAAAATGAATGCCTTATTGAAAGCACTTAATCTAGATGTTGAATATTTTACAGCCATTTCCACTGAGGATTACGAAACTCTCAATAGATTTAATAATTCCACTTACTTGCAGCCAACCCATAAAGCTTGTTTTGTAAGCCATTATTTGATCCATCTTTCAATCGCCTACAATCGTTACGAAAGTGCATTGATATTAGAAGATGATATTGATATTGAACTAAATATTGAATCAATCATGACTTATATTCATAGTGTATTACCATCAGATTGGGATATTTTATATATTGGACATTGTATGGGTTGGGAGGGAGCATTCGATTCACCTATAGTAGAAAGTTCAGAAACTTTTAAATTATATCCATCCAAAAAACCATATTGTACACATGCTTATGCCGTTTCTGCTGCTGGTGTGCTTAAGATTATTAAGGAACTTCATGAATTATATATACCAATTGATCTTCAATTGATGTCAAAAATTGACGAGGGTATCCTCAAAGCTTATAGTGTTGCCCCTGCAGCAATTATACAAACTAATGATAATCCATCTGATGTATCTCCTGGTGCGGATTTTTTGGAACATCAAACTTTAATAAATTCTACACTACGTTCGTTGGGTTTGTGAATAAATTAGGTTTTTTTTTTTAGCATTAAAAATTATATAGACAATTTGTGAAAATTTATAGATATTATTTTTATATCGAAAACCATTTTAAGGAAAATAATATATAAGCTTATATATATCATATAATAATAAATTAAATATCAAAAATGATATTTTAGGGTTATAATTACCAATATTGTTTAGTGTATAAACTAAGTAAATTAATTTAATTTTTAATATTTCTAATATTTCTAATATTAAAATCTAATCATTTAAGAAAAAACCT